GGTCCTGTCAATTACGCAGTATCATCTCATGGGAACAAGGAAGCATGTCTTCTTGGTGACGCTCCTGCCCTGTGAAATGCTATCCCTACCTGCTCCCACCATTTTGACTTCCCCAAACTGCTAAAGGCCTGGGTGTGTTTTTTTGGCCCTCCCCCCCCCGCCCCCGTCTTCCAGTCAATTGCCTTCTTTTTTCCCTTTTCCTTTTTTATCTGTAAGCCGCTCAAAATTGCTATGGAATTGGGTGGCCTCAAAATTGAAATAATAAACAAAATCACCATCATCAATATTACTATACTGGGGGAGGAAACACCAAGAACCAAGAAATAGAATTGCAATATCTATCCAGGATCACATAGCACCCTACCCTGTTGGAAAAGCCATGCTTTCTGTGGTATTTATCTTGGCAAAAGATCTGAGGCTGCACACAGCCCTCATTTTTTTCTGATCTTTTTTCATCTGCTTTCATACTGTAAAAGCATTAGACAAGAATGTCAACTTTGTCCTTTGACTTCCAATGTTTAGAATTCTTAGCTTGTGCCATTTCATTTCTGAAAAATTATATATTTATTTCTGAAGGTCATACTTGGATTCCAGCACTGATGCATCTGATTACTCCATTTGGGCAAACTGTGGGATACTCTGTTAATTATTAGAAGTGATTGCAATAGGCAGAGATTTATTAAAAATTATCATTTTATGGATGGACTAAATTTATTAATTTATTTACTTATTCCGTATGATATTTCTCAAATAATATTAAACATGAATAAGATATGCAGGGATATTTATCTGGATATTGATAGACGGGGTATTTAAGCCTTACCCTTTGGGATAGGTATAGTAAAAATGCTCAGAATGAATGTTAATTCCAGGATATACGTAGTATTTTATTTGCATGGAATTCCCATATCTGGAAAACATGTTCAAAAACTCAGTATACTGTTCCATAAATCCCCGTGAACATCTTCAATTCTGAAGGTATCTTTGTAAAAGATGTAGTTGTCCATTAAGAGGTGGGGGCTTTAGTTTCCTGAATCTGGAATTATATATGTTATTGGTGTATTACTGGTCAATGATTGTAAATAAAAATACTACTACTCATACCATTAAGTATGTCTTTTAACTAGTACCATATTTTGGACAACTTAACTGAAGATAAATTCTCTTTCCTGGGACCTTTTGGAATATTCACAAATAGCACATCTAATTAATTGGTCTTTTTCTAGTTCAAAATAGATCTCTATCAGTTTGAAATGGTAGTATGTCAGCTGTGTAAAATAGCATTCTGATATTTTTTCTTAAATGAAGTTGACACTGTAGGAGAACCCACATCTTAAAAGCAATTTAAAAAACTGTGATATGGAAGATTTAAATGGAAGTTGGGATTTTTTCCTTTATCAATAACAGGACAGTGATTTCCTTTGTTAAGAGATTAAAAAATGTCATTTGCTTGTTGCCACCCAGTGGCAGCATTAACAACTACAGTCTCTATTGACATTTGGGGCCAGTGGCATTTTCAGCTTAAAATCCACCACAATTACTAGATGTGATCACTAAATCTTAGGAACCCCCCCATTAATGGTTAAAAATACTTTGTATCGATCATTAAATTTGATATGCAGACCTTAAAGACCAAATGGAACAAGGAATTGGAGATCCCCCTTTTCTCTACACAATGGGAAACTGTCTTAATTATTTTACCAAAAATGCGGACCTCGGTTTGTCTAGAAAAGGAACAAGTTTTGGATGCAATGAGAGTAAGGCTTATTAAAACATTTTTGTGATTTCGTAAAATCATGACGTTCTGTAAAGATGCCACAACACATTTTAATTTGACTTTTAGTATTCTGAAAGTTCTTTTGAATTATCTACCTATTGCTAAAAATGGACTGCAGGACAATGGAAGTGGACTCGGCACGCCCTTGTAATCACGCAACGCTTGTCTTTCAATACGGGAAAAAAGATTCACGGCCCGCGGACTGAAGCCCTGAGGTTACTTGCAACGTTCGATTTCAGACGTGGTTTATACACGGATGATGGTCCTGAAGCACGGCCACCGCTCACCGAAACCCGCGCAAGGCTCCGCGCCCCCGCGGGAGAAGCCCCCCGACCCGCGCGTCGCTCCGGCGAAGCCCTCTCGTCCCCC